TTCAACCTCTTTGCGAGTTTCCTTTTTAGCTGCCAGTTCCGCGTGCAGCGTGAGTGTACCATCCTCGGAGAGCTTGGCGAGTCAAGATAGCTCTTTAGCGTATGCCCCCATCTACGTGCAAAAGTAAAATTATTCACATGGAGGCACTAGCATGTGATCCATCATGTCATGTGCATAAATCACATCATTCACAACGGATGCGCCAGGTTGATGGGTAAATGCATTTGGAGGGAGGTGCATTCCCATCTCGAAGATCTGGTCGCGAGCAACTGCGAAGGGAGACGAGTCGTCAGTCGGATAGGGGTTCCCTTGATATTGGAGTGGTCGAGTTCTCTTGGGATATCGAGGAGGCGAAGTCTTCTCCTTAGGACGCTCCTCCTGATCCTGGGAAAGAACGTCATTCCCAAATCTTCTCGTTGACAGGGTTGAATCGGAGCCCTGTGCCGAGGCTTTGCTTTTAGAACGCTCTTCCTGAATCTGGGCAAGAATGTCCTTCCCAAATCTCCGCGCCAACGACATGGTGAGTGAATCTAAGTGAGGAAAAGTGAAGTTAGTCTTTCAAAGAAAAGAAAACAACGAGAGTCATACAAGTGAGGATTGACAAGAAGAAGTCCCTAATCCCTCCAGCAGAGAAGAGTGAGAGTGGGGTTACCAAAGAGGAAAAAGACCTTGACGAATAAGGAGTGGTTATGTCTATATTTTCCTTTACTTCAGGTGGAGTAGACATTGGGCGTAAACCTGCAAAAAGAAGTAAATGTCATCTACCATGTAATAAAACGTGCATGCATAAGTAACTCACCGTTGAGCTCTAATTGAACCCAAGTTAGGTACGGGTATCTTGGTAAGAAAATTCCCAGTTCCTTCCTTAGACAAAGAAGAATCGACTTCTCCACTCCGAATTGGATTTGGATAGTCCCTCAATTAAGGGACACTCACATCAGCTGGTCAGGTTCCACCACCATCGATCTACCCTCTTTGGAATATATTAGAGCAAGACCTCGCTAATACTTAAGGAGGGTTACCACACGCTTTCCATAGGACAAAACACCCTATTAAAACCTTCCAGGCATTTGGGGTGAGTTGTCCGGGTGTAATACGGAGGAAGGAGAAAAATTCCTTAATAAAAGGTAGGCGTAACCCAACAAGAAAGGCACACTCAAAGAGACAAAGTTCACCATTTGGAGCCTCGGAAGCTCTTTTATGGGGAAGGGGAGCCCGCATATAAATACAAGAAGGAATGTAGTACAAAAATCGGAAACTTATCAGATTAGATTCCGAAATTGAAGACTAAACGTTGTCTCCCATGTTTACATTGACCGTGTCTATCACAAAGAGAAGAACAATGTGAGAAAAAGAAAGTTTATTTTTAGGATTATGAAGGTAGCATGATGTTCTTCCTTCACGCTCCTTAAGTAAGGAGAATAGGTGATTTCGAAAAAAATAAAACAATGAAGGCATGCATTGAATACTTTTGAAGCATGCCTGCCATTGTTAATGATTCTTCTGCTTTTGAAGCATTTCTATCTACTTAATTTGATTCCGATTATTCAGCGCTGCTGCTTTTAAAGCATTTCTTCAACTATCTACTTAATTTGATTCCGAGCTACCTTATTTCCTATTACTTTATTTGATGCTGCCTACTGCTGTTGTATTGATGCTTATTTGATGCAGCCTACTGCTACTGTACTTAATTGATGCTGCAGAGTGATTCTGCCAATGCTGAAGGTGATTCTTCAGCATTCAACATACAATGCCGCCAGCTGCCACGTGGCAGCCTCCTCCTGTTAGATTCCTCCTTTAATTAAAAAGAAGATTTTGGTGCTTGAGGGTGGGTTTGAACCCAAGACCTCTGGCATCATAGTGATGAGGCTTTAACCATGTGAGCTACGTCAGCCCATGTGTATTCATTCAATAAATAAAATATATATATGCTGTCTCTATTGATTGACCCAGTAAATAAATATGTCAGGGTGAAGAATAACTCAAGAAATAAATATTTACATTCTCTACATTTGACATACAAACGCGAGCATGGGGGGCAATTGATAAAGAGTCTTCACCCAGGAATTTTGATCGTCACACAAATCTATAAATCAAGATAAAACTCCAGTATCTCGGATAAAGATAAGAATAAGTTCCCCTTTCGTGTTGGAGAAGTAAGAGGCATAACATTCCTATTTTAATGCAACTTGGCACCCCTATAAAGAGGGTGTTTGGGTCAATAGAAAAGGTACGACTCAAATCTCTAATAAAGTCCTTTCAACTTCTTTCCACCCTTTTGCTCTAGCACTGACTTGATCATCGGAGGCTCTTAGGCCGGTACCCCTCGATCACCTTTTTCTTCATTTTTCAAGTACAACGTTGCTTTGGGTCGCCGCGGAATCCTGCATTATCAGTTGGCACCGTTTGTGGGAATTTTGTTTGGGGTTTGTATATCCTAACTTCATAGACTCCTATGGAGCTTCAGGCTCTCCTGACGTAGGCTTTTCGTGCCAAGCTTGACTCTCCCCACTTGCGAGTTGTCCCGAGATCACCCTTATTTCCCCCAGTGGGTGGCCAGGAGGGTTGTTTTCTCTATTATCTCGGGTAGGTTGAACCGTACCCTTCTGTACCCGTATAATTTCCCCTGACGAATTAGGCTCTCTATCTGGCTTTTCAAGTCGAAGCAATCATCAGTATTGTGCCCATGGTCTATATGGAACTGGCAATACTTGTCTTTAGACCTTCTTGTCGGATCTGACTTTAACTTAGGGGGCAACTTCAAGGTGTGGTCGTCTTAGATCTGCATTAGGATTTGACTAATAGGGGTGTTCAAGGGAGTGAAGTTGGTGTAGCTATCTCGCCTCCTAGGGACTCTCGGGGGACCTATCATTGGTAGGCTTTCTAAACTTTGGAGTCTCTTGTGTCTTTGGAGCTAGAAGCTAACCTCTTCTTGTCTCCTTTTTTGTCGTCGACTCTCTTGCCCTTTCTAGAATTCATAGTATCTTTAGCATTCATATGTTTTTGGGCCTTAATAAATAATTCTGCCATACTGCTTGGTGGGTCCTTGAATAAAGAAAGAAGGAATTTAAAGGATTGTAATCCTCCCATGAAGGCTGTAAGGGCAACCTTATCTTCCACCTCATCGACTTGCAACATCTCCGTGTTAAATCGGCCAATATAATCACGCAATGCCTCCCTTTTGTCTTGCTTAACATTCAGCAAATAGGTAGCTGGTTTTCGGTGTCGTCTCCCTGCAATAAAATGCCCTATGAACTGCTTACTAAGTTCATCAAAATTGCTAAAAGATCCCGGCTTCAATTTATTAAACTAGACACGGGCTGATCCTTTGAGGGTGGTAGGGAACGCCCTGCACATGATCTCATCTGGGACAACTTGCAAGCTCATCAGTGATTTGAAAGTTTCCAAGTGGTTCAGGGGATCGCGGGTTCTGTCGAAACTCTTAAGATGGGGCAACTTGAAGTTCCTTGGGAGAGTCATAACTCGAGGATTAAAAGGTAGATCCGTCTTTTGAACAAGGTCATCAACTGTGGCAGGACCTTTTCCTTTCAAGACTTGGGCCATCCCTTCCACTTTTTATTTGAGATCCTGGATCAGCTGATCAACGTGGGTAGCTTCGGTGCGTTCTCCGGCATCAGATACATCTCGTCACTGAGAACGAGGCTTGCGTTCTCCTGCATCGGACATATCCTATTGTCGAGAATGAGGCGTGGAAGCGCGCATGTTTCTTCGTCGACCTCCCGCTTGGCTGTGCTCTACTCTGTCATTATCATCGTTAACTTCCACGGGTGTTGCATGGATAGCTAAGTGTCGTATGATTGCTGCATTTTGTTGGACCAACTGGTTCATACCTTGATTAAGGTTCTGAACATGTTGTTCCAACGCTGCGACACGCTCCCCCTTTTTTGGAGCACGCCTTGGTGCACTCTCATGGTGGGATGCGTGCTCTCTCCTTATGTGAGACTGAGTTGCGCAAGGCCGGTCATCCCCGAGACGGGGTTGGTTGTCGTCATGGTGTAATTGATTATCACTGTCATGACGCGACTGGTTCCCACCATTATGCTGATGATGGTTGCTGTCATTACCATGTTGCGACTGATTTCCGCCTTCAGGTTGATGGTGGCTACCATCATCATGTTGTGATTGATTTACGCCTTCAGGCTGATGGTGTCCTCCACCATCAAGACGCGAGGGGTGTTGACTTTCTTCTCCAATATGGACTCCGGATCGCAATTGAACCATTGTTTTTCTAGAAAACTAATATCGTTTCCCACAGACGGCGCCAATTGATGATGGAGGATTCCGCGGCGACCCGAAGCGACGTCGTACTTGAAAAAGGAAGAGAGGTGATCGAGGGGTACCGGTGTGGTATCGGCCTAAAAACTTCTGACGATCAAGTCAGTGCTAGATCAGGAGGGTGGAAAGAAGGCGAAAGGATTTTCTTAGGGATTTGTGTCGCACCTTTTCTATTAACCCGAACGCCCTCTTTATAGGGGTGCCAAGTTGTATTAAAATAGGAGTGTTATATCTCTTACTTCTCTAACATGGAAGGAGAACTTATTCTTATCTTTATCCGAGATACTGGAGTTTATCTTAATTTATAGATTTGTGTGACGGTCAAAATTCTTAGGTGAAGACTACTTACCAGGAACAATATTTTTGATGAAAAGTATGAACTCTCTTTATTGTATATGGCATACAAATTTCCCTTAAAGATTGTTTTTAATTGAAGAGGCTCAAAACAGAAAGAAATCTTAGAAAGCTGAATCCACTTAAAAATGGTGTAGACAGCATCTAAATTCTGTCCTCCAACTCAATTGCTCTCTTTCGATCTCAATATTTTACTTCAAGATTGCCGAGACCCAGAGTTTCATGTATATATTTATTCCAAATAAAAATTTTGTATTTTCCTACCCAATTTTGGCATGCATAGCTTCTTTTACATTTCAAATGGCAACATTTTTACAAAGCGTTAACCGTTTTTTAAATACTGACTGCAGCTTCAAATCAATGATCACCGGTTTGAGGATGCTGAGGAGATGGATAAGGACAGTGACAGTGGCCACCAGTGAGCTTTTCATTTTCTTCTCATCTCAGCTACAAAATATTCAACCTATGTTACTACTTCCTCTATATCACTCTCTTCTTGTATATGTGAACAATCGTCCTAACTCCATCACTTAGTGTGAGTTGAAATAATTTTTAAAATTTTAAAGATATTTTATCCTTTTAGCCTTTTAATTTGTGTCATTTGACTTCAAATGGGGAAGGTAAACCACACATTTATTTGCAATTCTGATATGCCACCACTGAAACTAATACTAATTTTTGAAATATTAATTCTACTTAAATTCATTGCTTTAACATTTTTTTCATTGCAGCAGAAAGAAAATACCTTATTCTTTCTATTATTTATCAATTTAACTGCTCTTGAATTATTATTATTATTCTCTCTCTCTTGCGTGTGTTGGTGGGGATTAAGCTAGTTTTTGTGGTGTTGTAGGCTGCAGTTGGTAAGTAACAAGTTGGTGGTCAGGCCTCCATAAGTATTCATTAGTAGAGAAACCATTGAGACTGTAATTTAGTGGTTATTCTTACTAATTGAGGGTGTTAGAGGTGTAGATTTGGTATTATTTGTTCAAAATGGTTGAATTAGAAGTCGAGCTTGTGTTCTTATTCTACTTATCAAAAGAAAAAGGGGGGGGGGGGGGGGGGGGGGGGGGGGGCCGGGTTGGGGTGGGGGTGTGTTGTTTTGTGTTCTTATTCTTGGCTTGGCTTGGCTTGGCTGTTCTAGGAACTTGGTGCTGCTCTTTTTAGTTTTTGTTTAAATCCTTACATTAATTTAGTGGTATGTGCTGCTAAGTTCACAAAAATCTTCTTAGCATATAGTTTTTAAAATTTGACCTAAATAGAGCTACTGATTCGAGTAATGTATAGCAATCCCAATCACAAGACTCTGTATAATCTGTCAATTAGGCCTTCGAAGTGAGCTTGCAAGCCTAATTTTCGAAGGTGGTGAGATGAATTATAGAAAGTGTCATAATAAGAGTCTTAGCTTCCCTCCCCTCTCAACTGCATTCTTGTGACCCTTTTTGGTTGACATGGCTTTATAAGAGCCATGTATTGCTGCTTTGATCGCGTGAAGGCGCCCATTCCTAATAAACTAGGTCAAATCCTTGAAGGCGAGCCTAGCAATTTGTTTTGTTTCCTGAAAATGTATGTGGAACTTGTAGTTGTATTGCCAAATCAAGAAGACCCCAACTGCTGCAGCACTTGCAATTGCATATGGTGGGCTGATACCCTATATGTTAATGAAAATTTAAATTTAAAATCGTCTGAATTGCACATATTGTTAATGAAAATTTAAATTTAAAGTAGTGTGATTTACGCGCACACACACATATATATATCTATATCTATATCTATATCTATACTATTCTAAAAGTGTTGAGAATTCTTAACATTTTTTTTTTCCTCATAAAAAAAAGTTCATTAAAGCATAATAACTCATGTCTCAGTAATAGTATAGATTATATTAAAAGTATTTTTAAATCAAATTAATTATACTTTTTATTCTTCATATTCTTCCGTATAGAAAAAGAAAAAAACTTAGAAGGGAAAAAAAAATATAATATTCCAACTATTTAAAAGCAAACCCGTTATTCCAAAAAGGGGAAAAAAAAAATAATTGTAAAAGGAAAAAAAATGGTACCAACAATTTTTTTTTTTTTTTTTTTAATTATTATTATTATTTTTTAAAAAATAAAAAAAACAAACAAACAGAAAAAGTAAACGTAAAAGGGAAAGGAAAAAATGTACTGTTTTTCTTATTTTAAATTTAGAAATTTTATTAACATAAACATTTTTTCTTATTTTAAATCTCTTTAGTTTTTTGCCATTAGGTATAATGATTATGTCTCTTTAAATATTGTTCTTATATATCTAAATCTATGAAAAGTGTAATGACATCTCATTAATTAAATCACAATATTTAACTCTCACAAATAAAATAAAAAGAACAGAAAAGTAAAGCAAATAAAAAAATAATAATATTCTCACTATTTAAAAAGGAATCCGTTCCTTCCCAAAAAGTTTCTCCCTAAAAATTCTAGAGCCTAATTCACATTATTCCAAACAAATAAAAAGAAAAAAAAAAAATGTAAAAGGAAAAAAAAATAGTACAATTTTTGTTTAAAAATATTACTAATAGTATTTTTAAATTGTCTGTTCATTGTTCACAAAGTTTTTTAATAGATATTTCTTAAATTATGTGATGGCTCATTGTCACAAGGTGTGTCTTGTGAGTTACCCTGAATCTAAATAGTTTTTCGGCCCTTACTAAGGTGATGAAACATATCTATTTAATCTGATTAAAAGTGAAATGGTACCCTTGGAATTTTCAATTTTAAATTTTATTAAAACTGTATTATTTTTATTTTGATACTTGAAATCTCTAACCGAGGTATTTTTTTTTTTTTTTCACTTTAAATTAAATCTAATTTCATTAAAAAGTATTAGTAGACATTAGTTACTTGATTTTCATTTCATTTTTTTAATGGTTGATAACCTTTGGGATTTTCAACCTTAAAAAATGTCATTAAAAGTGAACTACAAAATGTGTATAACCTCTTAGAATTTTTAACCTTAAATTTCATTAAAAGTTTATTATTTTTATGTTCAATGCTGTTAGAATATATTGTAGAATATATTATTACTATATTGTATAATATATTCTAATCTTATATAGGATTACCATATATATAGTTACCATATACATATAGGGTTTACTTATTCATCACACATAATCCCTCCTATGTAAGTCTTTCCTGTATACATCTCTTGCATATCAATACAATACAAAGTTATTCTCTCTCATTTATATCTGATATGGTCTCAGAGCCTTTCGATCTCTAATAAACAATCTATCAGTTTATCGTAGTCACTGCCGGGGATGGCACCATTAACCCCATCCTTGGCGGCGGCGGTCAACTGGCAAATCATACTTGCAAACTCACGCTTCCGCACTCCAAACCATGGGGTCTTCCCGAGCGTGTGCACAAAACAATGCACAAAACTTTGAGTTTGGAAATTAGTGTCAAGTGGGCACCATAATGTAAATTTATAAACCGCTTAACACCTATACTATGTAGTATGAGTGAGAAGGGATCGTCCCAAGGGATTGAGTTGTCGTACTAGCTTGAGGAATCAAAATTAGGGTTAATAAGTCGAGTGATCAAAATAGTGGTTGGTTGGTTGAATTAAACTAGATGCAAATTAAACTAAAGTAAGTAATAATGCAATAGAGAGAATAAAAGATAGAGAGAGATCTTGGGGTTTAGAGATCACCACTAAGCATAGCTTTTCTACATCTTTAATGAATGATTAATGAGGGGAAGAACATGCATTGCAATAAAGTGTGTGTGTGTGGTTGTTTCAACAAGTATGGATGACAAATTAAATATATATTGTCTAAGTAACATGGTGGATAGCACAACATATCAAATTAAGCCATTAATCCTTTCTTTAAGCTCACAATCCAAACACATCACAAGGTTAGAGATATATGTTACTTGCTTTTCATAAGTATGGAACATCAATAACAAGCATGGATTGTCCTCCCATTTAACAACTACACTACAACTAAGCTAATGACATGAAATTAAACTAATTAAACTAAGGGAGATGCACCATCCATCAATCAATGAGTATGAACCATCAAATAAACCACAAGAACATGACATTAAGCACTATGCCTTGACAATCTCTACTTCTATAGCATCAACACACATAGACATGCATTAATAACACAAGAAATAGAGACAAATACATGAACATCTATTCTAGCATATACATAGAAATATGGATAGAATGAAATGATTAATTGGAAGTATTAAACCATATAAATCATTGAAAAAACAAGCTCTATATATATAAAAATGTCAAGACATGAATCACAATACAAATCCCCTCAAAAATACATAAATCAAGAAGTAGAAAGCATGCTTAGGGCTAACTCTAGCCCCAAGAGGATGTCTAGCCACTCATGGATGATGTCCTCTAACCCTCAAGGGCAAGCTCCATGGAAGAAATTTGCTCCTTGGTTGATGAAGAGTCTCCAATGGTGTCTCTAGCCTCCTCCTCTTCTTTGCTTCCACGTTAAAAGTTCTCTAAGTATGATATGATACACAATATGATCCTCTATGTTCTATGTTCTTTCTTTTTACAAAAAGTAATCTTAATCCTTATATAGGTAGGTCAAATGACACCTAAAATGAGCTGGGGTTATACAGCAAATATTCCCCAATGATTGGATAAAGGACAACTTTTGTGAGCTGGAAATTAAACTTTTTCGCACTGGAGGAAGTTCGATCGATCGAACCTTGGACTTGGATTGATCGAACATGGCTGAGATCTATTGAACTGAAGTTGGATCGATCCTCAATGGCGGTGCCTTTTTGGATAAAAACAAATTTGAGATATTTTGAAGATATTTTTGGGAAAAGGACAAAAGTGGTTGGTAGGGTGGTACAACTGGATAAGATCAATCATTTGGATAAGGACAAGAATTTTCGATCGATCGAAGAAAGAAGTTGGATCGATTGAACTTTTGAGATCTTTGAATAGGGACAAATATGGCTCAGATCTATCTTAACGTGCTGAGATCGATGAAAGTTGGATCGATTGAACTTTTTTTGAGATCGATCGAAGTTGCTGAAATTCCACCCTTTGCTTCCTTTTGCTCTACTTTGCTCATTTCTTTGATTAATCCCAGAATTGCTTCAATTATGCTCTTATTTGGCTGAGTTAGCTTATTTTGGGGATAAGTATCTGAAAATGGAAATAACACGAAATCAATATAAAACGGTAAAATAAAGTAGATAAAGGTTCTATAATACCTAAACTTAAGGGGTTTAAATATGCACTTTTCAGCGCTCATCACACCCCTAAACTTAAATATTGTTAGTCCCTAGTAATGAACTAGAAAGTAAATGAATGAAATGAACAACTATACAACTATGAATTAGAAAGCAATAAATGGATAACGCCACTTTCGTAGGGAACATGATTGCACTTAGCATATGCAACAAGCCTTTTAAACCCCTAGATTACCCCTAGTGGATGAGTGAAGTCTCGTGAGGGTTTCCAGAAATGATACCCACAAACATTAAGCTCATTCTCACAAAAGAGGTACCAATAATGCAAATAAGCATTGGGAGAAAACTACCTCCAGTATGCAATTTTTCAACCATTTCCAAGCAATCTCCTAAAATTTCAACATCAAGCAAACAAGTATGGTCCTACACACATCAAGACAATGATCATGCAAATCAAAACAACTCTAAAATCCTTTTTGAGTGGACCGGCATCAAATATGTTGCT